AGAAACCAAGATAAGACTACGGATGCATTGAAGAAATTGTGAATTCCACTCACGCAACTGGCACAGATTCCCATAGAAACCCGTCGAGCACGCACAGATCGACATCGATCTAGTAGCACCGTTCTCACATATCGGCTCGTCGCAGTACTCTCCACTGTATCCTGCAGGACAAACACACTCTCCAAATCGATTCACTTTACCATCACCACAAGTTGACGCTGAAAGTTTTGCACTAGAAAAACGAGATTTCTTTATGACATTTACATTCATTCACAAAGTGAAGGACAGATTTTTCGAAGGCCAGTGCGAATCCTGACGGAAGGCAAATGCCTGCACACTATGGAAGGATTGATTCATTCTCCTGCAAACGTATATGCCCACCACTATTGGGTAATTGCGAGAAGAAGAATGTCCGTTGAAAGAAGAACTTGGACTGCGAATAGCCAGAGACTTCCATTCTGACTAGTGCTGCTGAGCTCATCTGTAATATGAAATATGTAGGGACTGGCAGCAAAATTGAAAACAGATAATGCGATTGCCTAGTAATAGGCTACTGTGATTCAAATAGAGGTAGATGTGGTACTAGGTTGACCGAAATGATAAGGCAAACCCCGGGATTGGCCCGACTAGTAGGAAGGATACCACGAGGGAAATTGTAAGGTCCGTACCTACCTAGATCACTCCAGCTTCGTCGCAAAAATTGCGCGGTTAGGGCGCTAATCCTTACGGGCCTGCAACCATCGACCCCCGTTGCAACGCTTCCCACCCACCGCGAGATCAGCGTGCTCTCTCGAACGCGTGATCTCTCGCGTATTTTGTCTTCTTTGACCGCCCTTTCTCGCCATCGTACCACATCCGACCTTTTGAAGGTTAAGGCCTTAATTTCAGCGTTCCCAAAGATTTCTCTTGCTTTCCTTTCCACTTTCAGGTCGTTCCGCAGCTAAGCTATCACTACAAGCGCTGATAGCACCATTCAATCCCGGAGTTTGCCTTTAAGAGAACACTGAAAGTGCTATTTCGGAGCCTGCTACAAGCACACTGCACGCTGGTCTGTAGGCGTAGATTGCAGTCTTCTCATTGATCGGCCTCCCCTTTCCTTACCTTACCAAGAGGACCGACCAATGAGATGGTCGCAATCTCCGCCCATACGACTAAGATGCAATCTATGGTACTTTCAAAATCCATAGCTGTCTCGTTTGTTCTTTTCATAGCTATTCGACTGATTACCACATCCACTTGCCTTTTGAGCACAGTATTCTAAACTTAGGCAGTCGCGATACCTGGCTGTGGAGGTATATAACAGGCTGCCAATTTTCTACCTGGAAATTTGGACTGATAAACTGATAGGCACACTTCGTGGCGTCACGTGGTTGAACCGGAATCCATGAAAGATTGTAGACGTCACTCCATGGCTCCTCCACGTTTGATGACCCAAATTTGGTCCGATCAATCGTGAAATTCGCGGTTGAAACATGAAAGGTGGCGAATGTGTGTGTGCTTGTCAACGCCTGAATGTTTGGGATGAGCATTTCGAACCCAAAAGCAAAAAAAATAACAACTGAGCTCTGGACGAAAATGGAGAATTGGCTGGGAAATCAGTCTTATCATCCGAAGTGAAGCCGGGCAATATCGTGAGCGGCGATATTACGCGAACCTGAAAAATATTCATGGGTGAAAATATTCACGGTATATGGGAGAGAAATTTCTGTGAAGGCGCACTAAACTCCCAGTAGGTGGGTGGGGAAGTCTTCTTGGGTGGTTCTCCAACGGTCGGCCACGGTGGATAAACGGGGATCGTTTTGAGATTTCTATGTAGATGGGCGTGTGAGATTTCATTTCAGGACCTTGTGTGTGACTGTAGTAAACAGTAGAGAGGGGGGGGGGTCGTATCCAAGACTTCAACAGGTCGAAGTAATGGAAATTCACATATCATTTTGCTGTCAAAAAGAAATGGATCTCCCAAATTGCCTTGAAAAATGCATAGAATTGAGCAGCTAATTAGATGCGTTTCTGTTTCATGCAGCTAATATATTCTTATACCTCGTGATCTTGGCTGATATCAGCTTATGTTGGCCCTTGGAGTGCATGGGGTCTTCTTGGAGAATGAACTGCTGAAGGAGCAGCGATGGTTTACGATGGTGGTGGTGAGAGGCGGTCCACAGCCTCATTAGAGTGGTAAGGGGATAGAAAGGATGCGCATGTTTGCGCGTGGTGATCAATCCCTTTTTGGGCATGCGGCTTACTTCCATTTGTACATTCGCAGTGGCATTTGAATGCGATGTGGCCTATACAATGACTTGCGGGGGCCAGCCGATGTTCAAGTCAGTGTTTTTATCCTCCCAGACAAGTCTGGTACCAATTAACCGACCCCGGAGGGATGGAAGGCTTGGTTGGCCCGGGCGACTCACGACCCAGGATTTGATCCCGGACCGCTCGCGTGGTAAGCGCGCCACTTGTCACTACACCACTTCCGCCCAGGTAAGGAAAGGGGTAGAGGTCGTAAAAAAACCCTGAATCAGCACAACTCAATGGCAAACCCTGCCGAGGGGTCCTTCCAAAGCCAAAATATTTCGGTCAGTGACAAGCAAACTGATGCCC